TTTAGCCTCTCTTCATCTGGGACCTGTTCCCAACCCCTGATCATTGTAGTTGCCCTCCCCTCTCCCACCCTCTTTCTTCCCCTCTACCACCTCCTTTTCCCAGTCCCCCAGAGGTTAATCCCCCCCACCCCCCGTTTTGTTAATTAAAGAGAGTTTGTGTTCATGAAAATACGTGTATTTTATTTGACATCAGGAAGGGGGGCTAGGAAGGGGTAAGTGGAAGGGAGGAATGAGGCACAGGCCCCCAGTGGGGCAGACCAAGGAGTCTGTTAGTGCTCCTCAGGGTGGAAGCTCTCCCGCGGGGCCTCCTGGATATTGACAGCCCCTGGCTGGACCTCCCAGATGGCAGCCTGCAGAAAGTGCAGCCAGGCTCGCAGCAACGCATCCAAGAGAATCACCAGAGTGCCCAGGGGCAGTTCTGGCTCCATGTTGCAGAGTGCTGTGATGTCCCGAGTGAGGGCAACTAGAGCACACACAGACAAAATGCTTTGCTGTCCCTCATCAAGGTAGACAAGCAAGCAGAGAAACCTGAGAACTGGCTGTCCGGGGGGGTCCCTTTAAGCACAAACCTCAGATAGCCTCAGGCAGCAGCCCCACATAGTAAGTCCTGACCTGGTGCCCTGCCAGAACTGGGTTCAGACAGCCTTAAATGCGATTCAGAGTCCACTCAGTGTGGACGCGCTATTTCAAAATAGCAAAAAGCTATTTCGAAATGCATTTTGTGTTTAGATACGTTATTTCGAAATAAGCTATTCGAAATAACACTGTAGTGTTGACAAAATCTTATGTATTAACTACTGAAGATCCAAATTAGAGGAAAAACAGGAGTATCATGTAGCTCTTGTTCACGTCTTCCCTCACATTGGCAGTTTACATCCAGATGATGGCCAAATTCTCTTGAGTTTTCTTTCATAACATTTTGAAGATCCAAAACATCATTCTAACAGTCTTGCTCATCTCTGATTATCTCCAATCTAGATAACTTCAACCACTTTTCTGTCTGACCTCCCTGATGCACATAATGCTTGATTGCTTCTAATTCCCTCTAATCCATCCAAACTGTGACTGATAAAACAATCTTCTTAGTCTGGTGATCTGACTACATCAATTCCTCTTTGTGTATCTCTGCTGGGCTGATTGTCATAATTGCAAATAGCAATAGCTCCAGTTCACATCACTGGCAGTTAGAAGAGGCTCAGCAATTCTGCAGGTTAGTCCTAAGGTGCCTCATATTGTACACCCAAATATTGAGAAAGCCCAGGTTAGAAAATGCTTATGAAAATGTATGCTTTCAGTAAAATTGACAGTATAATAATTTCCATACCTCACAGACATATTCTGAAGCAGAATTAATATATGTGAAGTGTTTTGGCTTCTTTGGGTGCAAATTATTAATTATTAATTATTATTATTATTATTAATACTAATAATATTTCTGTTTTGTAAATAAAGAATCAACTATATCCAAACTATATGCAAAAGTAAGAGGTAATGTTAAAACACTCCCGAGGCTGAGATTGTCTAGTCTTATCTAATGAGCAGTAGCACATAGTTCCACAAGGATAATTAGCTGTAGTATTCAAAAACAAATATTGAATGCAGCTTCACAGAACATATATTCATCTCTTATGAAAGCCCTAGAGCCAATCCTTCATGTTTAACATTAATATTGTTCACAAGAGTTTAATAAGTTAGCAAAGAATATAATGAGAAGCATAAACAAGAAGTGAAACAGGAAACAGTATGGGATTAGGGTAGGCTAAATAAACTACAGTAGAAGTGGGTCTCATCTATTTATTTATTTCTCAGATCCTTTTAGAATAGACAATTCATTAAACTTCCCCTTTATTACTCTCATCACAGTTAATTCACCAGCTACCTCAAAGCAAGAAATGCATTATCTAGCATAAGCATACAAGTGCCTTGACAGTCAAAATTGTTTAAAAGCACTAATCTGTGTATTCCTTGGAACCTGCTTTGTTCTCAGAATCCAAAGGAATTCCTACTCCAGAACAGAGCTATCCAGAAAACAAGAATTTTGATCATGAACATTTTGAGCTGTCAACATTTGATTTTATTTCATATCAGAATTAAAATTTGACCTTTTGAACTTTTGGATAAGAGAAAATAACCTGATTAGAATAGCCTAGTAAGGAGTAAGTGATAGGAACACATATTCCTGCGCATCCAGAAATATAATTTATGCTATCATGTGCCGAAAGTGTCCGTCTGCTATGTACATTGGACAAACGTCTCAGACACTTCGCCAAAGGATCAATGCCCACAAAACAGATATTAGACAGGATCACAAAGAAAAAACAGTTTCTTGCCATTTCAACCAGAAAGGACATTGTCTCAACAACTTAATTACCTGCATCCTGCTTCAGAAGCCTTTTAAGACTGCACTTAAATCCCGGGCTTCATTTGCAAGTTTGAATGACTATATTAACCACCCTAGTCCGAACTAGGGTGGCTAGTGTATTCATACCCGAAGATACATTTGTGTGCCTTGCTCTTTCTCTCTCCATACTGTACCCAAGAACACCTCCTAAGGAAAATTTCATCAAAATGGATTTGTTTCCATAAAAAGTTTCAGTTTTAATAAACTGGGATTTTCTGAAAGAAAACAAGTTTTATAAAAAAAAATCATAATTTGGAACCTGCTCTACTCCAGATGTCAATCATTTATCTATTGCAGATATGGCTCCCTCCCTTCCTTTTTTCTGTAATTATATTGATCTTGTTGCCCACAAAAAGATTTTTTTCCTATATTTCCTATGTCTGACAGGGTATGTCTACACTACCCTCCTACTTCGAACTAGGAGGGTAATGTAGGCATACCACACTTGCAAATGAAGCCCGGGATTTGAATTTCCCAGGCTTCATTTTCATAAGCCGGCCAGCGCCATTTTTAAATGCCGGCTCGTTCGAACCCCGTGCCGCGCAGCTAGATGCGGCACGGGCTAGATAGTGCGGACTAGCTAGCTATTCCGCACTGTGCCGGGCGCCGCCATTTTTAAGAGTCCGAACTAGCGGACATTTAAAAATGGCAGCGCCCGGCAACATGCAAGTGAAGCCCTGGAAATTCAAATCCCGGGCTTCATTTGCAAGTGCGGTATGCCTACATTACCCCACTAGTTCAAACTAGCGGGGTAGTGTAGACATACCCACATATATTTGTGATCAAACTTTAAAAGGAGGATGAAATCTTGAGCTGTTAAAAGTGAAAGGGGCTAGGACAGGATTTCACCTGAGGTACATACGTGGCCAGAAGCTCAACTGGTGTATATTTCTGTAGCTCCACCTGGAGAGGTCCAAAATCAAGCAACTGGGCTGTCTTTGGTGAACAATATCCATGTGCAAATAGGAGCTTTTTGCCACAGCCAGTATCTAGAGTGACTAGATAGCAAATGCACAAAATAAGAACCAGGAAGAAGTAATAGGCACCTACATAAGACCCTGAATACCAGGACTGTGCCTATAAAATCAGGACATTTTGTTACACTACCAATATCACAACAGTCAGTCAAAGCAACCACTATGATTCGCATTCGCTATCAATCTCCTTGATCATTATCTTCAGCAATATAGACACACTTTTTGCATTGTTCCCTCTTTATGCCTGAATATGATTTTCCACCCTAGGAGCTAAAATTTACCAAAGATAATCTTTAATCTCTAACACAAACATATTCTAGTAAAAACAAAAAAACAGGACTATGTAGCACTTTAAAGACTAACAAGATGGTTTATTAGGTTTATTGTGGGTCTGGCCCACAAAAACTCATCACCTAATAAACCATCTTGTTAGTCTTTAAAGTGCTACATAGTCCTGATTTTTGCTTCAGCTAGACAAGACTAACATGGCTACATATCTATTATTATACCCAAGTAAAATGAGGAGATGGTCTTCTAGTTTAGACATAAGACCAGGAAGTCAGGAGACCTGGAGTCTACCTTTGGCTCTGCCACACATATCGCCTGTGTGAACCTTGTTCAGATTATTTCATCTCTTTGTGAACCTGAAGCTAATAGTTTCCTATCCAGTAGTGCTGTTGTGAGGCTTAATATGTCAGTCTTTTCAGGATGTTCATGTTCAATAGAGATGAGCATCATAGGAAATGAAGTGGGTTTAATGCACTGAAAAAAAATTATTCATATGGTAGAAACAAAACAAATGTTTCTAAGAGAGATGAGTAGAAGCTATGAAGTATGTATTCAGGTCCACGTTTTCTCAGAGTTGAGGAAGTTTGAATCTTGCTGAGTTTGGTTCAGGTCTGTTTTTCAGTTTTAATATTCCTGTCTTTTTTCTCTTGGAAAAACAGATTTTTTTTTTCATAAATTATCTAAATACAAAGGAAAAGTATGTTTTAGGGCATATTCCAACCTGTAATGATAGAGTGTTGATGAACATTTCCTATGAATAGGTTATGTCTATTTTGAGGAATCTGGTACTGGCCATTGTTGAAAGCTGTTGAACTACATGGTCTGATCTAGTGTGAATCTACCGTGTTTCTATAAGAAAAAAAAGGAAAATGCATTTCTCTAATAAGACTTGTGAAAGTTCTGCTTAGGCAGCTTGGAAACTAAACTAAATTCCAAAGCAGCATTTAAGACACCAGAAAATCTTTCATGACAATCTCCTCCCAGAGATAGAAATGGGATTACATTCAACAGTACAATGAGCAAGATCATGCAGTTAAGGTCTAGTAGTAAGAAATAAGCTGGGGGCTTATCAATTGGAAGCAACAGAGCAGGAGAGGGTCCTCTGTGTGTGTATGTGTGTGTTGATCACAGGTGAACATGAGCCACTAAAAGAGTGCCGCTGTGAAAAAGGCAAATGCAATTCTAAAATGTTTTAGGCAAGGCATTTCTGCTAATGATAGAGAAGTATTCATGACATTGTACAAGGCACTGCTAAGACCTCGTTTGGAATACTATGTGCAATTCTAATCACCCATGCTCAACTCAGATGAATTCAAACTGGAACAGGTGCAAAGAGCTACTAGGATGATAGGGAATGAAAAGCCTATTTTATGAGAGGAGATTGGAAGAGCTTGACTTGTTTAGTCTACCAGAAAGAAGGCTGAGAGAGAATATGATTGCTCTTTATAAACACACTGGGAGAAAGTACCAGGGTGGGTGAAGAAATATTTAAGCTAAAGGTCAATCTTGACACAAAAATAAATGGATATAAACTGTCCATGAACAGGCTGGAAACAAGAAGATGGTTTCTAACCATGTAAGGGTGAGGCTCTGTGTGCTGCAAGCAATTTACCAAGATTATCCATGTATATTTCTCTGTAGAAGCAGGAAAAGGGAAAAAAGGGATTTGTGCATAGCCATCTCAGGTTTGTTAGAAGTGGAGCAAAAGACAAGCTAACGCTAACCCTAACCACACAGAGTTGTAGGAGATGCTGCCTCCGTCTCTCTTAGAAGATAAGGATGGAATGCTGACTTAAGCAGGAACCTTGAGATAAGGAAGCATCTGGAAGGAGTTTGTATAAACAAGAGATAACTATGAGCTATTGATGTATATAACGGGAAGGTATATATACTTGTCTTTTACTGCTTGTACTTTGAAGATGTGCCTAAGGAAGGGGAATCCCCTGTCCGACTGCAGACTTCCCATGCAATTGCTCGAATAAACTACCTCTGACTTGTTGCTTACAAACTCAGAGTGAGGACTTGTTTTCTTCCACACTCTCAATCATTTCCCTGCCATTGTGTGATGTTGGCACCAGTGTGCCTAATCCCACTGGTTCTCTGCCAGTGAAATGTAATATTCTAGTCTTCTGAGAGCTGTGAAATCCTAAACCGAGAGGAAATGCCAAATGAAAGACTGGGTTATTTCTGCATTTTTTTCACCTGTACTATATTTTATGAATCCTTGGGTACCATCAGCATTCAGACATAGTGCCACAGATTTTCATTTGACGGTTGAATGAGATCTTACAGCCAAACTAGAATTAGGTGACATCTCTGAGCAGGAAAGTATGCATTGAAGTAGCACTTACTTTATAAGGTTCAGTTAATTACAAATTGTCCTGTGTTTAAGAAGGAGTGTTTGGGAGAGATTTCTCAGGCTTTTCAAATTATGCTAGAGGAATACAATGTTGACTCCTTTACTGGATTTCTGTCAGGCATATATTAAGTTCTAGCCAGGGACACCGACATCCTCCATTGCCCACTAAGCAAGGTACGGGGGAGGGTAGCTTCACGCTCCCAGAAAGGGCAGAGTCTTGGGAGGAAGAGGTAGGGCTGGGGGCAACCAGCTATGAGTGCCACCTGGAGCACACCTATGCCAGACCCTCAGGCAGCCCTCAGCACCGCCCAGAACATGGTGTGTCCCCTCCTCTCTCCTCCCCTCTCTGCCCATAGCACTGTTCAGAATGCGCAGTGCTCCAGTAGTGATTTAAAGGACCCAAAACTCTGGCCGCCACCACTGCTGGCAGCCAGGAGCCCCGGACCACTTGAATCGCTGGGCCTCGGGACAATTGCCTCCTTTCCCCCCTGTTGGTGGGCCCGATTTGAGCATTAAAGCAACTGTTAAATCCACATTTGTAATTCATTCACTACTGGTTTTGGTTGCTATGTCTGATTTATTAACTAAAACTGGAATCAGAAAGATATCTAGGAAAACAGTGTGGAAGAAAATCCACCTGACTAGTGATAGATAGTATGTGATTGCTACTGTTTGCCAATAGCAATATCAAATTTTGGGCCATTTCAACAAAATGGTGATTTTTTTTTTTAGAATAAGCAAAACTGGTAATTTGCTTGCTCTATCCCCAAAGGCCAAATAAAAAATTCCCAGTTCCTTTCACAATGAAATATTTGTGTATAAAATATCTAAGGATACATCTACACTGCAGAATAAAGCTGAGTTAAGATATGCAATTTCAGGTATGTTAATTGTGTGCTGAAGTCAAAGTACTTTAACTCGACTTTTGGCAGTGTTCACAATGTAGGAAGTCGAAGGAAGTACACTCTTCCTTTGACTTCTCTTACTCCTCATGAAATGAGGGTTAGAGAAGTCTGAGTAAGAAGTCTGTTATTTCAAAATAATTCCAAAATAACAGGCTTGCTGTGTAGATGCACACTGTTTTGAAATAACATGAGTTATTTCAAAATAAGTATGCAGTGTAGACGCAGCCTAAGTGAATAACCTTGCACAGTTCATTACTGACTCTTCTTTGCCAAAAGTCATATCAGTTTGATTTACAAAATACATGTGAATGAAGAATTTGGAATGCTGGAGAGGCAATTCAAAACACTGAGTTCAATTTCATTTCCAGTGGTTTTGTAAGCTCTCCGAAGCTCTCCACCATTTTCTATTTATTTTCCAAGTCCATTTTGATCACCTTGAAAAGAGTAGCCTACACACTCTGCTATGCCTGAGTAGAGTTCAGCACAATCAGGACATAAAGGGGGATTCAATCTAGTTTTATACTCTCCTAATTCTTGGTCAATCTGTCCTGAGAAACAGTGCTGAAAAATGAATATAAATATCCTTTATGTTTATATTGTTTATGTAAATAACCCAGTGAATATTTAGGAATATTTCTGCAATTATAAGGGCTGCTTCAAAAACAAATACTCAACCATCTCCAAAATTAGTCTTTGTAGATGCAGCACAATAAAAAGGAATGAGTGACACGGTCCAGTTTTCCAATGTGGAGGCCTTCAGGGAATCGTTTTTTTGCATATCGTAATCATCCCTAACATAGTCCCTATTCTAGCTTCTTCTTCTGAAAATCTTCTTTTGAAAACAACTTCATGCTCTTTGTGTAAAAGCAAACTGCTCCTGCGGCAGAGGCCAACAGTCAGGATAGATATGTGGGTTTACATATTCTGCTCGCTTTTTTCTAGCAACTGCAAAGAAACTCAGCAGACAGGCAAATTGTCTCTCTTTTTTTCCTCCTATGCCTATCTGTCTCTGTTTGACCTGAGTTTGACTTTGGAGCTGCAGCAGGCCAAAGTAAAGAGGTATTAACAGCTGGAACAGGTAGTGCAGAAAGAATTAGAAACAAAATGACTGATTAAACTATTGATCAGCCTCTCTGTTTAAACTAGCATATTACTCCACTTAGAATTAAACCATAGCAACTGCATTCCAATGAGGTGAAAGGTGTCATCTAAACTCTCAGTAGCCAAGGAGATTTAGAGTTCAGGAAGATCAGGGTCAGGGAAGTTAAATGTGAGACCAAGCATGGACCTACAGGATTGTGAAATTGGAGAAAGATGTGTTTGGGGTGGGAGGAGATGGGCATGTAAAATGTTCAGAAAATATTTCCAATATGCCTTCTAAATGTTCTCCCTTCACTAGAAATCATAAGCAGATTCAGTAGAATTAGGAGTGCTGTGACACACAGCATTTCCACTGTGGCTTGTAACTTATAAAGCAGATGTGTTGATGCTCCTAAGCTTTTATATAGTTAATCCCCATTCCAGTTCCCCAGCTCATCTTTCAAGTACTTCTTAAAGACTAACTTCTTTTGCAATGCCCACAAGAAATGAGTTAATGGTCTTTTTTTAAAATGCTAAGTTACTACTACTCGTGGATTTCCCACTGTGTCCTGTCTTTTTCTGCATCTGTCTTTTAGACAGTAAGCTCTATACACCTGGGGCTCCCTTGAATCTCGTACAGGGTAAAGCACATTGTTGTCACTTAAATAAATAATAAGGCTTAATAATCTCTCCCTGCTGACAACCATTACAGTACTGATTTCTACTATTCGACAGGCTCTCAAACTTTTTCATAGTGTGCACCACATCTTAAACAAAGAAATCCCGTTCACAGTTGTGAAGATCATCTCATTGTGCTCAAATAACACCACTGCCGATATGGAAAAATTACATTGGGAAAACCTTAAATGTACTTTAGCTATCCTTTAAGTAAGTGGTTTTCAAACTTTTTTTTCTCACGACCCAGTTGAAGAAAATTGTTGATGCTCAGGACTCATCATAATCATATCTTTTGACTAGAGTGCAGGCTCCAGGGTGGGGCCATAGATATGTGGGGTTGCAGATGCAAGAGGTGAAGGGATTGCCAGGAAGCGGTCTATAGACTACAGTTGGCAACCAAGGTATTTTTGCATGTGATAATAATTGATCTGAGGAGAGTTTTGAGACTCTCCTTTTATTTTCCTAAATCTGCACCCATCATCTATCCATGTAGGGTAAACAACTGAATACTGCAGGATATTCTGGTAATCATAAAAAAGATTGCTACTGTAGTGGATGGTTGTTGTTCAACTTTGTAATTATGCTAAACAGTAAATGTTGAAGTTGGTCCTCGTTAGGTGGGAAAACTCAGTGAGAACCACTTTCTATGAATATGAACCTAAACTTAATGAGTACATTTCTTAATTAATGTTCTATTAACTTATTGATAATAACTTGTAAACTAAATAAGCTGATCTGAAAGTAATTAAAACTTCAGTAAGTGGTGTGCTCCCATTTACTGTCATGAACTGTTTCCTAGGGAGAAAAACAACAACAATGCAATACAAAATATATTTCAGTCTTACCTCTGTGTTCTCTCAATTGGTGCTCACTTTAATTAATTAATTAATTATCACTTTTAAATAATACATGAGGAGGATACTTATTAAAGCAGTTTGATAATAACCCTTTTTGTGCAGAGGACTCCATCATCTATAGCGTGAAAGATAGAACAAAGAGGAACTAGGAATCTTGAGGAAGAAGGGGAACTTTGCTGAAATTCCGAAGGATTACTGTTTTCTCTTGGATCATAAATGTGGTCATAATAGCCTCTCTCAAATTCCAAATATTTATGTGAAACTCTCAGTACAAACCAACTAAAGCACAAGTATTCAAACTTTTTTGGAACTAAGCATAATTTGAGATTCGTTCTTAGTGTTTTATCCATGGAAAGTAGGTATAAGAAGCAAAAGGAGGCACAGCCTTCCCTGGGTCTTAGTGCTTAACCTGTCCCCTTTTCCAATTCCTATTCTGACCATTCTTGAAGGCTCTCACAGCAGGCGGTTGCTGCTTGCATACTGGTGACTCTTTCACAGGGAAGCCTTAGAACTCAACTTCATTTACAAGTTTGATTCCTATAACAGAGGTATGAATAAACAGATTGAGTGGACATCCTAATGACATACAAAACAAACAATGGGTACTTAAGAACTATTAATACCTTCTCTATCAGCTTCATGTAGCATGGACACTCTAATTGACTATTTCTACCCTCCCCCCCACACAAACCTTTTTTTCCTTCTTTTTCCTCCTTGCCCCTCATCCTCTATTTATTTAAAAACTGGACCTTTAATAACTCCATTCATCTGAAGAAGTGGGTGGTGCCCACGAAAGCTCATGATACCATCTACATGTTTTGTTAGTCTCTAAGGTGCTGCAAGACTATTGGTTGTTTTTTAAGTTTCCTCAAAAGTGGATATTTTACTTTAAAAGTAAAAATCCTTCCAGTTTGACAGGACTATTAGCATAACATTGAACCTGTGAAAGAGCCATTAGTAGCAATAAAGACATTTAAGAGGCATGTGCCAACCCAGAATTTATTGACAAACAGTCATCTGAAGAAGTGTAGAATAGTGATAGAAATGTAGCCGTGTTAGTCTGGTGTAGCTGAAACAAAATACAGGACTATGTAGCACTTTAAAGACTAACAAGATGGTTTATTAGATGATGAGCTTTCGTGGGCCAGACCCACTTCCTCAGATCAAATAGTAGAAGAAAATAGTCACAGCCATATATACCAAAGGATACAATTTTAAAAAAATGAACACATATGAAAAGGACAAATCACATTTCAGAACAGAAGGCGGTTGCGGGGGAAGGAGGGCAAAGGAAGGTGAATGCCAGTGATATTAGAGGTGGGGAAGGGTAGATGTCTGTGAGTTAATAGTATTAGAGGTGATAATTGGGGAAGCTATCTTTGTAATGGGTAAGATAGCTGGAGTCTTTGTTAAGTCCCCTGCGGAGAGTGTCGAATTTTAGCATGAATGCCAGTTCAGAGGATTCCCTTTCAAGTGCAGATTTGAATGTCTTCTGAAGTAGGATGCAGGTTAGCAGGTCTACACAGCATGTCTACACAGCAAATGCCCATCAAAATAGCACTGAGCTATTTCAAAATGCAGCATCCACACTCATTGGATGCTGAATCGCATTTAAGGCTACCCAGAAGCACTTCAGGCAGGGCATCAGGCCAACACTCATTTCATGGAGCTGCATCCTAAGGCTATCTGAGGCTCGAGATTAAAGGGTGCCCCCTGTCCAGTCATGTCTCAGGCTCCTCTCCTTTGCCTATCAACTTATTATTATTCTAGGAGCAGATGGGTGAGATTCTGTGGCCTGCACTGTGCAGGGGGTCAGACTAGATGATCATAATGGTCCCTTCTGACCTTAAAGTCTATGAGTCTATGAACTTGAGGGACAAGACAGCCTTTTCATTGCCTGCTCTGGTTGCCCAAAACATGCTAGCCACGGAGTCGGACCTGCCTCCAAGCAGTCAACGACTCTTAGACCCTATGCCTCACCTCCTGCTGCAGTTTCTGTAGGCTGCACTCATGGCCCTGCAGAAACAGAACCCCCAGCTCAAAGAGGGGCACCTCTTCTCCTCTCTCCCTGCATTGCTCATGCAGCACGACCTTTCCTGCTCTTCCCTGTACACCATGCACTGCTGCTTTCTGGTGGTAGCATCACCATGCACCGACTGGTAGCAGCTGATCATGGTAGGATGACCAGCAGTGGCTCCAGAATTTCCACATGTGGAAGGACACCTTCAGGGAGGTCTGTGAGTGGCTTGCCTCTGCCCTCACATGACAGGACACCCATATGCAACACGCCATACCCCTCCAGAAGCAGGTCGCCATCGCTCTCTGGAAGCTCGCCATGCCAGATAGCTACCGATCTGTCGCTGACAGTCAAGGTGATGATCATGCAGGTTTGGCTCTCTTTTGCTATTGTCCCAGGTGAGTGGTGAACTGCTGGAATGGGGTTTCCTAGGGAAAGGGGGGAGAGTGGTGGAGGTTCCCTTCCTGGAAGGGTTTTCAGTCCTGCCTTCATAAAGCCCTGACAGGGAATATGGTAAGAAGAGGATTTGTCTTAGTATGTCATGAGCAGGGGGGTGGGGGCTGGATGCAGGGGGGAGCTGGGCTCAGGGATGAAAGACAGTAAGTGTGTACCAGCTTCTAGCATAAGAGCCCATGGTATTTAGATTATTAACTAACCTACCTGTCATAAAATAATGTTAAAAATCTTTTTCTTCAAGATCACTGTGTGAATGACTTACATAAAATTTCTGGCATTTTTATTCCAGTGCACTAAATTATAAGATCAGTTTTAAAGTGTGATGCTCATGTACTGGGTCTTGCCTTGCCAGACAGAAATGAATTATTAAAATATTATCCCAAAAGATATTAAGAAGTATCTATTTTTTCATTTATAAATGGTGTTTCCAGCTAAAGGTAATTCAAAATGTATCTATGAGTGAGAAAAGGAAAGAGAATGCAAAAAGAGTTTGCTCAAGACACTTGACTAAAATACTGTATGTTTATTATGATTGTTCTCTGGAAATTATCTGGTTGACCAGGGCACACCATATTGCCATATGCTTGTCTCTTCAAGTATATGTAGGTTAGGCTAGAAATCTCAAAAATACTGGGTTATGAGGCAGTAATTCTCAAAATTATATTTTTTAACTTACACTTTTGTAGCCTTAAACTTCCATTTGCTGCCCTGCAAAATGAAAACTTGCAAATGACATTCAGTTCCTGCAGCAAAGAGATGCTTTTTCTGCAGAACTGGTAGAATTTTAAGGCTCCCAGAGTATATCATCATGCATAAATGTTCCATTTTGTAACATTCTTTCTGGTTGTAATCTTAGGGCCTGGTCAATATGTGTGTATCATAGTAAATTCAATTATTAACTGAAAATACAGAGAGTGTATAACAAGATGGCCTGCCCCATTATAATCTGATGTCAGTCAGTCCTATTCAATTATCAGACCCAACTGGGAAAGGGGCCAGGTAGTTCCTGTGAAGGACTGAGAGAGCATTATTAGAAGGAGAGGGACAGGAGAAAGGCTGATTCCAGGCACTTCCAAAATTTGGTGGTCTTATCTTTTGCCATTTAGGAGAAGTTCTTGAACAAATGAACTCACAGACAGATGTACAAATCTCTAATCTCTCTCTCTCTCTCTCTCTCAATTTAGATAGATAGATAGATAGATAACAATTCCATACAATGAAACAAATAGGGCTCCCATTTCCACGGCACATATAAGTATTTCCAACTTTTGTTACCTCAAAATCCCATCTTTTATAGTCAATTGTAGCATTGATTTCCTTAGTAATAATAGTTTAATTTGAGTTACGGGTTATCTTCCACTGTAGCTAAGAAAAGGAACTTAGCTATAATAAACTGACTGGTACGTAAAGCCACTGCCCTGGAAAAGTAAACTGGAAAAAGCCACTGGAAAAGTAAAGAACTTCTTGGTTGTGTTTCACAGAACCTGTATTGCTAGTTGCTAACAGCTTCTCCTTTAGCTAAAGCAATAAGAATCCATGCTTTCAGTGCAGTAAGATCTGAGTAAATATCCGTCTGCTACTGTGAAGTTCTGAATAACTATAATGTGCAGTATAGTGACAACAATGAAATGGTAGAGGATCATGGACTTGTTACAATATGCTGGTGCCAGACTACAAACCTATTTATATAAAATAGTAAACTTATATCACAATTGAACATTGCTGCCTTTGTTAGACAGAGTCTTTACTCATTTGTTCTACTGTAAGGGTCACAGCACTGCATTCTGAATTTACAAGGGAGTACAAACCTATACAATCACTTAAAATGACAGAAGAAATTTTTACATTATAAGCATTGAGTGTGGGAATTTTGCAACTGTTTACAGAAGGAAGGAAATGGAATCACCGGATTTTTCCCTGCATGCACTTTGATAGCTCCTTGGTAGGTAACTGATGACTAAATATATATATAATATAAATATATTAGCTAGTTCTTCATATTAAATCTATTTAAAAGCCCTATATACTATGTGCCTTTTCAGATTAATTATCCTGAACCTGAACCATGGTCATGTTCTAAGAGTCACAGACTTCTGAACTTAGATCAGGGAGAGAGCTACTTGCTAGCAAATTAGAAACATGCTCCTTATGTGTTTTCTCTCTCTGGTTCCTTTTTCTATTTGGGCAAAATGTCTTCCCAGCATTATTGATAGGCTGTGTAACTGACAGCTGCTGAGGCAATCAATTGAGACTTGCTTCCTCTAAATGACAGGTAAGAACATCAAAAGCTATGAGTAGGCCAAACTCAGCTTCTCAGATGGAAACAAACTCCCATAGTGAATTGTAAACTAAGCATGACAGATTTCTGCAGACATTTTTAATTCAAAATGTTTCTACTTTAACATACTAAACAGATTCAAATTTTGATATGAAAACCATAACAATTGTGTGTGTGTGTCTTTTCCACTGGTACTGCCAAGCCATATCAAAATTATGAGCCTCATTCTGGCCTACATAGCACACTGATCAGGGATGATGTATGCGAAAACTGGAGTAAAATTCTCATTTGCACGTCATTGATCTCAAAGCAATCTCTAGTCAAACCTGTCCTCCCTGGGCCCCTCCCTATGCAATTAAAGCAGATGAATTA